TAGAAAAATTGCATTTTATTAAGAAAAAAAATATTTTTTCTTATAAAGTATTCAACAAAAAGGCCCATGTCTGGGTGTTGAAAAGGTGTGACTAATGTTTATCAAAAATTTCGACCCACACTTTTAAGTGATAACCAATTATTTTAAACTAATGCAAACAAGTGTTGTTTTGATACTAAGGAAACATATTTTCTGTTAGGCAAACAAGTGTAGGAAGGAAAAAACTTTAAGTACTTTTTCAGAATAATGGAAAAGTTAGATAAAATAAGAAAATTGAATTGACAATTGTAAAAAGTGGTGATTACAATTGCAAACTTATAACTAATATACGTAATTTTGCATAGAAAGTAATTGTTGTGTAAGCGTTTGGTTGTTGAAAAGGGTACTGCTATTCCGTTGTTCCGTTAATGATTAAACAATCGGTACAGTAATAATATTCAAGTTTTTTTTTTTTTAAAGTTTGTACATTAGCTGTACTGAATATTGTCGCGTCGGATCGTACATGTATGTCGTAATTTCCTAATAAACACGGACACGCGAAATCAGATACGGTTTTAATTAAATTTCAACGCGTAGTATTATAACGATGAGCATCGCAACTATCATTAACCTCATTATCACTTTGAAGCAATTGACCTCGTATCATCCCTACAACGCTTAGTTAACCGCATCAATTCATTGACAATAATTTGTTTTTTCTCTTGACACCGCATAACTCAAGTATTTTTTTCATATTATGGTTTTAATCTACTCATCGCTGTAAAGTTTATTCGAGGGAAAAAAAGACATAAATTTCCCCTCGGTTACCTTGTACCATCTTGAAAATATAAAAACCCAAGCCAGTCACCGACTCTCGGTTTAACGTCGCATCAAAAGCATCACGAGCAGAAAAAGAAAAAAAAAATTGATCGATGGCGCACGTAACTCAGCAAAATACACTGATACATCATCATCCACAGCGCATAAACAAAAACTTATCAACTCCACTCTATCAGCTCATTCTGGCCCATAGAGCACCTATTTCCTCCTCCACCGAAGAAAAAAAAAAAAAACTCTTTTAGAGTCCCTTTGAATAATAAATTCCTCACGTACACCCGTTCCTGCAATCTTGTCGAATTTCCATGCGACCTGCCACCCCGCCCGTATTTTAAAAATGTTTCGTACCCACCCCCTCCAACTTACGACGGGGTTCTAAGCCCAAGGAGGAACATCCCCCGAGATTATTTTCGAAAAATCCGGCAAGTATATGCGAACGCGGCCAGCCTCTCGGAAGAGATTTCTCCGATCGCTTGAGTTATTGGCACGATATATCAGCCCCCCACCCCCTAACCTTACACGGTTCTAGGTGGCGCTACGCTGGATGGATGAGCTCGAAAATAGATATCGTTACCCCCCCCCCCGGAATATTAAAACGACATCTGGCGTCTCGTGTATACGGGCAATATCGGCTGTCAAATGCTGAGTTCTATCAATTACGAACGAGCCAGGAACTATAGCTACGGTCGACGTGTTATTGGCAAAGCGCGTCCGGGTAACCAAACGACTGCTAATTGTAATGAGTGCATATGCATATGGGTCTGTGTGTGTGTGTTTCCGGATGGGAATAATTAATGGATGATTGACCGCGTAGTTTTCCTGAAGTTGATTCCGTACCTGTGGGGTGTACGCGTAACCCATCGAAGATGAAAATGTATGTGTATTAGGTAATGCACGGCGCGATGATTAAATGCAGTTCGCTTGAGTTTCGCTAGGAATCCGGTTGTAATTTGATTGGGCACGAATTGGATACCCTTGTTTCTTTTTTTTTTTCGTTTATGATTTTAACACCAACTTTTCCTTGGGGTGTGATGATTTCATGTGTCTCTGATTGGAAATACAATTTAGAACCTATTTGAAAAATAAGATGCTCCCAATGATGAAATACGCGTGTAATTCAATGGTACATTTACTAGACAATCATATGTTCGAGGTTATGTTGACAACTATCCCAAGAGGTTAAAATATTACAATTTTAAAAATTATTTCTTTCAACTATTTTACGCTGAGATTGGTTAATGTTAACCATTTCATTACACAATTTTTTTAAATCGAGATAAGATCCGTTTTTGGGCAAAAACTGTTTATCCATATCAAAGTAGAGTATAATCGTCAATTTGAATAAATAAAAACTCGTCATACAAACCAAAAAAAAAGAAAAAAAAAAATGAAGCCCAACCGCACCATCACCATATCTGACTTGGGTCCAATGTTCTCCACATCGATCCTTCGAAGGCAACTTTCGCGAAAATCCGCACGAAAAGCACAAAATCCATGGCAAGCCAAAGTAGGCAAGGTCGACTGCTCAGCCGACCGTGTATACACTATCGTTGCTGCGTCGTACCTTACACACAACTCGTCGACGACGTGAAACTCTCGGGGCGCATATGCAAAGCGCGCGCGAAATGTCACGGCAATGTTTTTCCTCTTCCTTCCACCCCCCCACCCCACCCCCGTTTTGGGCTCGCTAGTAGGAGATAACAATGCGACCCTGCATGCATAGCTACGCGACAAAAGAAACAGACAGAGGGATGCTTAGCAGCAGTAGAATAAACAGGGCGGCTGCTCGCGACGCCGTGAAAACAGACGACCCAGCGGTGTGTGTGTGTGTATGGGGGTGGAGTAGAGCCGGAGTTGGAGAGCACACGGCCGCGAATACGTAAGCGAGGTTTACCGAGCGTCCCACCCGCTCGCCGAATCCTGAATGAGTTTCTGGTGTCTGCAGGTGTGTGTATATATGTATGCATTACATGGGTCTCTTTTTTTTCTCCTCCCTGATGATGCAGCTCGAGTAGTCTGGTGGTTGGTTGGGAAAAAGTTGCGAGGGGCTCCGGCAATTTTTACCTTCGGCAAAGTTCATCCCTTTCTCTCTTTGCTTTTGTGTAATTGCTCGCTCACTTTGCAGCGGCGGCGCCCGTGCAAGTGCCTTCGAGCTCAGCGAGGGATTTTGAATACCGTGTCATCTCTCGTACCTTTTCTTTCCCCGTGGTTTGATTTTTTGATGAAAAATTTCACGCAAAGTTCCCCCCCTGGCTCTGGCGATG